CTCCTTCTTTTTCCCCCCCCCCCCCCCCCCCCCCTCTCACATTTTAGAATTTGAGTCTCATTAAGACTTTTAATTAAACATAAATCTAAGTTGTGTGAGTAAACATGCTGGAAACTAAAAATTTATACTAAATCTCCCTATACGCTTGTCTACGACTTCTTTGGCATTTGAGAGAGAGATAGAGTTTAGTATTCTTGAAAAGTTATAGGGTCCAAGAATAGAAAGTTGGGCCACTTTTCCTAATGAACTTAATGAAGTTTTACCGAATGTTTGGAGCTTTTCATCTCTTCCCTGTCCGGGAAGGTGGATCAAAGTCTTTGCATTTGTAACTAGAAAAATAGTTCTAGGGTATCAATCTGGCAAAGAATATCCAAGAATTTCCTTAGGAAATGTTTCCTAGCAAGACAAGAGATCAATTAATTTCTTTGTGCTTTCTTTTTTTAGTTATATTATACAAATTTTGAGCTAGATAAGGCTCAAGTTGAGAGACTTAATGCAGCATGATAATAAAATATTTCTCAACTATTCTAGAAATCAAGGAATGTACTATATACTCTGCATATTCAAAACTCACCCAAAATTTTTCTTCCATTTAGTGCACCGTAAAAATTCTAATTTATCCATAATTCATATAATCTTAAAATGTTGTCATTTTGGTATTCAAATAGGGATGTAATTTAGTCCTTTTATTACTTCACTATCCATATAGAATTAAGTCAATTAACCTCCAGATGCAATATAAATAGTAACTACACCTTATAACTTAAATTCAAACAAATAAGCTCCGATATTACTCCTGAAATCTAAAAGAGTCTTTTATTTATTAATTTGTTTTTAACATCAACAATCCAATCCCCACAAAACATAGAACAATTAGCATCCAAAGTCACAGATGTTCATGGTTGAATTCAAATTCTTAGGCAACTCAGGAAGATGAGATTTGAAATTTAAAATCAAACCCTCTTTAAATATCAGAATAGAATCATAAAATTTAAGCTGATGTTTAATTTCAAGATTACAAAATTTACGCGAGTATCACATTGCTTTCGACAAATTGAGAGCAATTTTTTCTAACTCCAGTCAACGCCCCAGGTTTGTTCTGAATGATTATTAAAATCTGTACAATTTTCCAAATAGTAGGTATAAATCAACATTCATCCAAGTAGAAATACTATATAATGGATATAACATAATAAGTGAACACTATACAATATAAAAAAAAAAAAAAAAAAAAAAAAAAAAACTTTAGGTTGGGTCAAAAGGCTAAATACTACCATTCAAGGAAGACCGCCGCAAGCAATGCAGTTGATTGTAGGACCAACGTTGTGGCTACATCAACCCCTCGCCTATGCTGTGGCTCATTCAGATCCGTTAGATCACTTATCAAAAATTAGAATCTAAACTCGTAATCAAATGAACCCCAGATGAGAAAACCAAAAAACTGAGGATCTGATAGTAGTGGAGGAAGATTATTGGTTTTCTTTTTTTTTTTTTTTCTTTTTTTTTGTTTGCTAGGTTTGAGGAAGAGTGGTGGTTTTCTGGTCATTTTGCAGCGGCAATTGGTGCCATCTGTAGCTGCAACCCTGCCATTGGTGGTACAGCTGCATTTGTTGTTATTGTGGTGTTGATGTTGATATTGTGTCGTTGGTGGTGATGTTGACGATGCTGGTAAGGTGGTGGTGGTGGTGGTCATTGTATTCGTGGTCATGGAGATTGTGCGATTGTTGTGTGTAAGATGACATGGGGTGAGAGCATATGTAACCAATTACTAGGTTAATTGTGACCAATAAATAAGACATGATCAATTATTTAAGATTGTTAATAATAGATTCGATATTTTGTCATCAATAAATAATGTGACCAATAACTTGTTACTAATAAATAATGTGACCTAAAAATTGGAGTCATGGCTTATAAAATTTGTGATTTATGATCGATAATTAAATTGTAACTTATAAATTTTTTGATTTGTGATTAATGAATAAATTCTGATCTATAATTTTATTTTATTTTTATTATCTTTTTTTTATCGTGAAATAATTTGTGATCTATAAAATTTTTGGTTCATGACTGAAAAATAATTTGTGACTAATTAATTCAAAAATGTATAATCAAATAGTATAGAATTTTGACCTTAATATATTTAATTAATACAACATATATCTAATTTATTAAATTTAATTTTAATTAATTATTTCATAAATAAAATTTAGTTAATATCTGATTTTTAAAATTTTAAATCTTGTTTCTTAGTTTTGGAATAGGCCATAATTAATCTCTTAGTTATGAAATTCTCCTTTAATTAATCTAATTGATCAAATTAAATCCATTAGTAAATAATACAATTAATTAATTACATAAATTTCCCACAATTGTTAGTTAATTAATTCTTAACATCATTCTTCTAGTTTTCTATTTTGTGTGTGACTCATTAAGTTCCAAATCATTATGTCAGACAACGTGAACTATTATTCCGATCTAATCAAAATAAGATAAATTATAACCCATTTTAAATTGTTATTAATTCACCTAAATTAATTATTTTATATTAATCATCCCCAATTGATATCTAGTAATGTAATACATGTGACGAAAAATGTCACTTGATGCCACAAAAACAAACTTGTTCATTTACCTTAAAACTATAACCCTTTCGTCAATATAATGATATCAAATTCAAGATATGAAAGTGTATCAATATCAATTATTGATTACATCTTTAATCTCACTCTCAAATGAATAACAGTCGTAATTCTTTTCAATTTATGAACTCATCTTGTCCAGTGATTTCAATATCAACTTAATTGAATAAAACGTAGATCTCAAACTCTTACTATCTAAGAGTAACGAATCATCAATCAATCATTCATGATCTTCATATGATTTTCGACATATCTAAACAATGTCGTATTAAAGACTCTTGATGATGCAACATCCAACATCACCAAGGTATGACTTTTCTCGTATAATGTACTGCAATGATCTACTATCGAACGTTATAGATTAATCACTAACACTCAAATAGTTATTCATCTAGAATATCTACACAGGTCTAATATCTTGTTCTCTTAATAAAATATCCACTTGTCCATTAAAATGTCATTATATTTTCGATTGTGAAATCAACTACTCACATTATAGGTGAGAAATGCCACACATGCTAATTCATCCTCAATAATGATATTCGTACTCGTTATTACTGGTGACCATGAATAATTTAAGATTTATTTAATGTAACTTGTACTTTATAATTACAACTCTTTATGATTAACAAGTTGCAAAGAATTGAATCTACGAACTATATAACTTGGTTTACAAACATAATAAGTCAATTCAATGATAATATCTTAATCATATTAAAACTGTTAACATCCAAAATCGATTAAATCTAAGGCACAACACTTACAGTAACTTGACCAAGGGTATCACAGAGATGATAAATTTTGGCTTATTTTTTGGCAAGGTGGAAATTGTTGAGATTTTGTCTCAATAATGTCAATAGGTAAAGGGCCTCGTGGAAAGTAAGTGTGTGTGTGTATATATTAAATTTTATTACGTTGAATATGAAGTAAGAAATAGATATACCACTTACAATCGTTTAACAATTCTTAGCCATTCTTGAGTTTTGGTTGACATTGAGCGACACTGGTTGATTTTGAGGGCAAAACATGAGTAGGTCATCTTTTACGTGTTCAAAGAAATAAAAAATCTATCGGAGTTAGACGCTTGTTTTGACATTGATAAGGTTGAGACTATGACCGCAAATCAATATCCACCAAATTACTGGGATACGCATAAATGCATCAATATCAGTAAAAATACCAACAATATACCAACTAAAACGAAACCACTGCAGAACAAGAAAAGTAGCAAAATTCATGAAAGTATTCTAGTCATGTTGTCCTGCTGCAACTAGAGCAGAACAATTTTTAATGAAAACTAGCACATCACCTGATGTAGGATAATCCTATTATAAATAGAATAAAAGTTGGATATTTATAATAGGATATTTAAGATTTATAGTTGTAATAGATTTTATCTTTTTATTCTTATTTCTTTTTAAAATGGGATTTCCATAAACTTACCCTTTTTCCCCATTCATAAGCTTGATCGATCAGCCATGCATATTCCAAATCTTCAATAAACTTTTGAAGAGAAGAAAGAGGCGTATTGAAGTTATTGGACGGAATCATCCATCACCCAATGCAAATCATCTATCACCAGTTGAAAATATTTACTCTCCATATTTATTTTTGATATCTTTGTTATGTACTCTATTTAGTATCATAATATCAATCTGTTGTTGGAAAAAATTCCAACTTTGGGGCCACACATGTACATTTATTAGAATGTGTGGTGCTATTTTAAAGTAAATATAGTCGATAAAGTGATCCATTGGATTTAATTTTGGACTAATGGGTATTAAATTTTATGGGATTAAAGTGTAGAGACCAGAAGGTGTTATTTTGAATTGATGAGGGGCCGATTTGAAATAACTTAAAGTTAATAACTGCCAATAGCAGTTATTTTAAAAGTGGTTATGGTCCCCAATTTGAACGTGATTTTCTTTGGAAAATATCTCTGCATCCCCATCAACAGAGACTTTGAAGAAAACCAAGAGGAAGGAGAATCACGTATCAATTGGAAGATCAAAACCCAATTAAAGCAGTAATATTCATGGATCAAGGTATGTTTCCGCACTTTTTGTTGTCTCTTTGATTTCAACATGGAATTTATGATTTTATGGAAGGATTTTATGAATATGGTTCCTTTCAAATTTATGCAACAAGTGGTATCAGAGCCATCCATTGTTGAAATCTTTGAGAAATTGAAATAATTTAGTATTTTTTTGGTTATTGTTATGGATCTTCCATGATATTATGTGAAATTTAAATTTCTGCAATTTTTTTTT